TCTTGTACACGGGTTAGAACGTCCTAAAAGTGAGTGGTTGACTGCGTTACAAGCTCTTGTACACGGGTTAGAACGTCCTAAAAGTGAGTGGTTGACTGCGTTACAAGCTCTTGTACACGGGTTAGAACGTCCTAAAGGTGAGTGGTTGACTGCGTTACAAGCTCTTGTACACGGGTTAGAACGTCCTAAAAGTGAGTGGTTGACTGTGTTACAACCTCTTGTACACGGGTTAGAACATTCTTAGGGTGAGTGAGTTTTAGGGTTTAAACTTGGATAGCATTTGATCATAAGTTAATCTGTGGGTACAGAGTAGTGTAATGTGTGTATGTATATATTTGGTGTCACAAGTGTTATAATCTGGCTAAACCATTTTATAAACAGTTCATGTTTAGCAACCATTTCAATTTTTATTGCATGATGTTTAATGCCACTCATAGCATAGGTAACTTTGCTGATCACCAATATTCTGTTGACTGCATGATAAGTTACACACGCACATCATACCAGTGAGAACAACGAAATATTTACCAAGCGAGGCACTGATACACTTGATAGCACTAATAAATGCATAATTCAGAGTAGATTTTACATGCAATACGTATGATTTTTATTGTTTTCTCTCTGCAGGTCTCCTGCGCTTAATTTTTGATGCCCTCTATGATGAGGATTTAATATCTGATGATGCCTTTACCCAATGGCAGAAGAGCGATGATCCAGCCGAAAAAGAAGGGAAAGGTGTGGCTCTAAAGTCAGTAATGTCATTTTTTACCTGGTTAGAGGAAGCTGAGCAAGAATCAGAAGACTCTGACCCAGAGTCTTGAAATAGTAGATTAATTAAATTAATGCAAAAGTAGTGATTTTTTTTTTCTTTTGTCGGGAAAACTGTGGGGATAATGTTTTGTAAAGAAAAAAGTTGACCTTTATTAAACCTTTCTCATGTGTTGAATAATAATGCAAATAAAGTTTGTTGGCTAAGAAAGGAAACCAAATACATATATAGCCACTCTGTTCTATATTATGGTCAGTATTTATGTTCAGTACATCAAACGCCGTGGATGCATAACAAACACTTACTTATTTTTGTACTGTTATGAGAGCTTTTTTATAGGCATGGAAAAAAAAAGAAGAAAAGATTCAAACAGTGAAAATTATTTATTTTATTTTTTTGTGTTATGTCTCGTGGAAATATTAAGTTAACACAAGAATCGTTAAAAATAGAATTATGGAAAATTGATACTTTGTAAGTCAATTTATTTAATATTTGTAAATTATTCTCTATTCAATGAGTACTTTTGTTTGTCACATTTTTTTTACTTTAGACAATGAAATGTAGTCGTGCTTAACCCTGTTTGCTGTATGCTTAATGTATGTTTACAGAACTGAAACTGATCACTAAAAGGTAAACACTTTGTTTAATAAAAACGTGTGTTCGTGTAGATTTCATTAGCAACCAATCATCTTTCTTTTTTCTACTAAAGAAAATTTGTCAAGTATAAATTACACTTTCCATGTACTATTGTTATTTGTTCTTATTGTTCTGTCTTTAATGTGCTGGGATATGTGGTCTGTCAAATGTTTGATACGTTGGTAGTTTATATATAATTCTATTCTGAAACAACAACATATAGAAAGTGGGAGTGGACATCATGTACTAATAGTGTATGTACATAATTTTGACTCTCCATTGTTGTTTGTGAAATAATAAATTGATACAGTGTAAACATATTTGGCTTGATCTACTTGTGTGAATTTTTTAGATTGTTGATTCTCGTTAGTTACGGACATCAGTCTTCACTTTAAAAGTATTTGATAAGAACTGCTGTATATGTGTGTTACTTCGATTTCAAGTTTGTCTGCAGTTTAACAAGTGAAATTAAACAACACTTTAATGCATTTTCCTTTCCTATTACAACATTGTGCTTAATAGTCAAACAGAAGTTAGCACTGCTTACGATACTATCTAAATCGCTTTCAATAGTTTCAAAGTACTACTGTTTGAAGAGTAGTTGTTTCCTCCTTTACAGCACTGACACATCATGAAATTTCTTTTTAAAATGCAAAACAATGTGTAATAACTAATATATATATATAAAACCTACAAACTTAAACAGTTGCAAGTGAGTGAAGTAAATGTAAAGTTCAGTCAGAAAAAAGTTAGAAAACGTGAAATTAGCGTGCAAGTGGTTAGCTGTAATGGTCGATATTTTAAAGTGAGTTTCACAGTTGAATAAATATAAGGAGAATAGTTAGTCTTGTCAAAGGGTGTTCTAAAGTAATTGAACCCGTCTGTGTGGACTTTGAAAAGGCGACAATTATTTAAAGTTCAAGATACAACTGTGGTAACCCATGGAGTAACGTAAGTGAATTATTCACTGATTGTACAGTAAGAAACAAAGTAGAGAAAAATAGTTTGCCTCCTCAGTTGGATTCTAAAGTAACTGAATCGGGCTGAGTGGACTTTTGACAAGAAAAGAGAATTATTTAGAGATTTATATACAACTGTGATATCTTATAGTGTAAGGAATTTTGTACGTACATTTAACTTGTTTTGAATATATTATTTTAAAACAAGTGGATTGTGTGCTGTCCGTTTATTGTTCGAATTTATCGCAAACAAGTCACAGACATCTACTGTAGAAGAATCCTTAGCCCACATATACATAAAAACTGATAAAGGTAATGATGAGGATGTTACTGGTTCATCATCTAGTGAAGGTGCAGATCACTATCGACACGAGGTAATATCGGAAGCACCATAGTTGATAACTGTAATAAGCACTTCTACTGAAACAAATCCAGCAACTTATCCCGCATTGTGTCATCATGTTAGAAATGAGCTATGTTTTTTTTGGGTTAATAACGGTCCTTTATTATTGTGATTTCAATAATTCCAAACATATTTATTTATTTAAAAGCAAATAGCATACTGGTGAATTTGTTCGTCGTGATTGGTTATCATGTCCACCGTCAACTGGTTCAGTCTAATGCTTTGTGTGAAGGTTATTTTTTTAGTATAAATTCGACTTTTTCTACGACAGGTTTTGATTATTGAAAGCATGTAGTTAGTCAAACTTCTGAACATGAAAATGGGCCTGAACATTGAAAGTGTGTTCATTTACTGTACTCGTTAAAAGAAAAGGAACTTGGCCAAATGGACTGAGCATTATTGAAACAGTTCAACAAAGAGCGACTTTACTGGCAAAATGTTCTGAAAAGAGTTGTTTGGAATTGTGTGGAAGTAATGAAACCATTGGTTTACAGCACAAAGGAATTATTTAGGAGCATTAAAGTTTCTGAGTGAGTTTGATCCATTCCTCAAAGAGCACATTGAAAAACATGGAAATGCTGGTAAAGGAAATCACTCATACCTTTCTGCCAATATCTGTTAATAATTTATCAGCATCATTGGTGTTAAAGTGTTATCTGAAATCATTTTGGAAGTAAACAAAAACGAAGTACTATTCATTGAGTGTTGACTCAACTCCAGATGTATCCAATGTCAATCAATTAACCTTTACAGTTCAATATGTTAAAGATCAAACTCTCAATTGAACGATTTCTGCAATTTATCCCAATTCATGGTCATAGAGCAGAATATTTAGCTGGTGTTATATTAATTAAACTACTTGCAAGAGAATGGCATTTTATTGTCTGATTGTCTTTCTGCATATATTAACTACTACAAAGTACAAACATTTTATTTTTCTACAGTTCTATATGTGTCTCTTTCTTATTTTTGTATTAGCAAAGTCACAAATAATACCATCAAACTCGAGTTTATGAAGCATATCGGATTCAGTTGACATCAAGGAGAAAGCGTTTAATCTTAGTTGAAAAATGCAACTTCAGTCCACTCTCAATAAATTTCATTTTGAGAAATATCTTTCGCGTTTGCAGTTTGTGACCATCATTGATAGAAATATTCTTAAAGCAATTTCAGTGGTAGGAAATGTTTCATCCAGTTTGTCATTCTTTAATGTTGCATATATTCTGGAAAATGATTTATCTTCTTCCTTTGATAGTTTAATGCTTTAATTGCTGACACTCGGATATAATTTCTTCTTTTTCCAAATCTCTGTTATAAATTAAGACAAGCCTTTCATAATTCTCAGTAATTTCAGCAGAGTCCATATTATTAAGTTTCTGATAGAAACCAAAATGATTATTGTTTTTTTTGTAAGCTTCAGTTTGTTTTTCTAAATTAGAAATCAGTGAGTTAGTGATTAGTAAGCATGTTTAATCCTTGAATTTAAGACTACCTTGAAGAACGATGTCACTAGAAGCGTCGTCAAAAGAAATGATGTGGAACTCCTTTTTTAAATGTTTACTAATGTCACTGTAATCACTAGAGAGACATTTTGTTTTTGCTTTGCACTCATATTCTTCCTATTGGCTTCTTAAATTTCAAATATGTGACGACAATGACTGAAGAATGCGGACAGCAACAGATAAGTTTAAATCCTCTTTTTTGCATAATTTTACTTGTTTCCGTAAAACTGGTAGAAATATTTTTCCATAAAATTGTCAAGAAAACTACCTCAAACTCATTCATCTTCTCACTGAGATTTTCGACATCATTTATTGTCTCTTTTGTTTGGCTAATATCACTGATAAAAAAATCCAGAGGTATTCGAATTACATAGCTATCATTTAAAGCTGTGATTGCATTGGCACGTGAAAACCACAGAGTTCCAGATAGTTGTTTTACAATCTTATGATCACGGCTGATAGAAGATACCAACGCTTGCCAACGATGAGTTGATGCAGCAAAAAAAGTACATAATCGCTGCACAAAATAAAAAAATATGACAACTTTCAAACTGTATACTTCTGCAGCCGTCTCCAAGAAAATTCAAGGAATGTCTAACTAAGCACAGGGAACAAAAACAGCTAACTTTGATTCTTTCCTGCAAACCAGAATATTGTCCAGCCATACTTGAGGCATTATCAAAAGACTGACCACTTTCAATAAAAACATACTGCATTGTCTGTATTTGTATTATTTTAAGTGTGACCTTTGTGAATGTGACCCCAATTCACACTTAACCCAGGTTCCCCAATATCCTTAAGACCGTGTTAGTTTGACCTACAGGTGAAACATGTAAATTTTTGTTCGAGCAACTAAAGATTTTAGGGTTAGTCTTAAGGATCACTATATTCCTATAATACTTTAGGGTTAGTCATACGGGATCACCACATTCCTATAGCACTTTAGGGTTAGTCTTACAGGATCACCATATCCCTATAGTACTGTTACGTCTCCTTTTGTTAATTGATTTTCCGTAACTTCGTTCCGACGAAACTTTAGCGACACAAGTCCTTACTTAATAAAACTGGTTTATTCTTTCTGAATATAATTTTACGATACACTTATTTTCAACAATCGCGCTAAAAC